GTATATCAGGCTGGTCTCTACCTCTCAAGTTCTGGGATTATAAGTGTGTACCACCACACCTAGCATACGCTTGAATTTGAGACATTATGGAGTACATACGCTGTCTGTACACACAAAATATCAGAAAGCTAATGAGATCTCTGGAGATGTAGATTCAGGCAAAGGCAAACGCATGAGCCTTCTCTTTGTAGCCTTTTGGGAATAAAGAACAACCACCAACTCTATCTTTAGATTTAAAAAAAAACTCCTGGAGACTGAAAATGGACAAGAAACCACATTACTCTTTCTACACTATTTGTCAGCATTGCCCCTTTACAGTTCATCTGTGTCAGTGACTGCAACTAAATCCCACAAAATACCCACATTAAGTCAAAAGGGCAAAAGTATTTGAAAAACAGTACTAATAAAAGCCAAAAAATCAGGTATCAAAATTGCTAAATAAGCACCAGAGCCTAATTAGGACATGCCATCTACCCATCATTCCTGACAGCCCTACTGAACACATACTGAAATCTCACAGTAGTTATTTTTAAGAGGATGTCTCAAAGAATTTAAAGTTTCTGTAATCTTGAAAATCTTTAAAGGACCCAATAGTCTCAGGCTTCAGATTCCATTAGAATTGTATCATCTTTTCATATGCAACAGGTTGTGGGCAGAATGACTGCAAAGGAAAATGTGTATAATCTAAGTAAAATGAATTACCCTAAATTGTCTTAACTTTCATTCTTTAAAGACTTAACGATACTGAGAAGGAAGCATTTATTCTAAACTAAAACCAACAAACTACAGGGCTACTGTGTTATCAGCCTCACTCAGATGAGTGAACCCCAAACAAAAGATCCCAATTTGTTGCGAAAACACTCAAACGCAGTTGGACTGGCCACACCCAGCAGTCTACAAGTACATGCACTATGGAGGTGGGTGAAAGAGAAATACCACCTAAAAATGCCTTAAGTGGTTAACAAACCATAATTGCTGATCTCAGAGGCAAGACTCTAACTCTGTTTAACATGCTACAACATTTGATCAGTCCAGAAAGTACTATTTCCCAGGTAAATTTTCAACAAACAACTGCGAAGGATGGAGGTATAAATTAGCTTGTTGTGGCAACGATGCCTTGCCATTAGAAGCTTATTACTAAGGTAGATGTTTGTTGGCCACCTCCTTCAAGCCCTCCTGCTCTCAGGGAGAGCTACTCTAAAAGGCTGGCATGGGTGAACTCTGTAGCAAGGGGCAGAAACAACGACCACATCGACATCAATGGGATAAACTCCCTTCCTCCTTTCCTCCCTCCCTCCCTCCCTTCCTTCCTTCCTTTTCAGCTTTATTAAATTATATTCATATACCACAGAATTTACTCATTTAAAGTACAGGATTCAGTAGTTTTAAGTATACTCACAGGGTTGTGCAGCCATCACCACTATCAACTCTAGAACATTTCTAGCCCCTCACCCCTCATCCTCCTACCATTAGTCACTCTTCATTTCCCATCAACCCTACTAGCTTTAGGCAACCACTAATTTATTTTCTGTCTTTATAAATGTGCCCATTCTGGACATTTCATATGGATGGAATCATACAACATGTTCCTCAGTAACTGGCTTGTTTCATATATTTAATGTGTTCAACATTCACCCACATTAAAAGATGAATCAGTACTTCACTTCATTGTATTGCTGAGCAGTATTCTGCATGGATACACACAACTTTTCACAAACAGTAGAATCTCTTTTTCCTATATAAACAAAAGTACACACAGTGATTAGGTCCCCAGATTAGCCCATAAGTATGTACCTATTATAGCTGAAATTTTATCAATTTACAAAATGCTAAGTTCTCTAGAAGTGTTATCAACTACCACAGAGACACCAGGATTAATAAAGTTTAGAGATGGAGCTCCTTCAGAAGTAAGTCAAATGCTTCAAAGTTTTTCCCTGTAAATTTAGGAAAAGAAGAAACTCACAAGCTCTAAGGCCTGAACACCTCAGGACACAACTGTTCTTTGACCTTATTCCGTTGAAAGCAAACAGCAAAGCTGCGTGTCTACAAAGCTGGCCTTGGAAACCTTGTCCTCTTGCTAGGCTCTTCATCTCTTCCCCCACTCTTTGAAATAGTTCCAGTTGCTTCTTGTACTCTTTGCTCCATCTCCTACCCACAAACAAAACAAAATCTCTTAAACTTGCTCAATAATTACAGCCTCATTCTAAATTAAAAGACATTCACAAAGAAATGTTACTTAAAGCAGATACTTGTATTCTGAGACATTCTCCCAAAACATGAAATGAAAATTAGTTTCCCTGTATAAAGAATTTCTGACATGAACAGGCTAGTAAGGGGAGAGTTTGGGTTTGGGTTTTTTTTTTTTTTTAAGTCAGTACCCTAAGGATGAAGGATAACTAGAAAGAAGATGGGTAAAAATAAGAAATTATTTTTAAGTTTGTTAGGCATGATAACAGTATTATGATTATGTCTAAGAATTTCCTTAACATTTAGAAATCCCTTCTGGTACTTTGATGAAATAATGTGATGCCTGAGATTTGCTTTAAAATACTTTGGTTGAAATGGGGTATGGGGAAGGGGGGAACAAATTGTTGAGGTCAGGTAATGGGTACATAGAGCTATTTTTTCTGCTTTATATATGTGCAAAAAACTCCAGTGAAATACTTTTATGAGAGAGAACAAAACTGTTCTTTCAGCCTTTGCCCCTCTCTTTTCCTTCATGGCACTTCCTGTTGTCACCACATATTCCTCAGATGATGTGATTAATATCTGTAAGCTCCCTGAGGATCACAAAGGTGCTTGCTCAGCTCTCTCAGAATCCCACTACCTCATATAGTTCTGGTATAACAGGCATCCAACAAATGAGAATTAAGTAATTGACTGAATCCTAGCATGGACCTCAGCATGCCGCTCCTAAAGGAATACAATTTTATTCTGAAGAAAAAGAACTGCATATAGAATTCAAGCTTTCAGTGGTGAGAATCTAGCTGTATAACAGTCTCAGGTGAAAGTATTTTATTTTGACTTTAAAACATCTTGAGTTTGAAGCATCTAGTAATAGAAGAAGTGTAAAAAGCACTGACCATGCAACGGGGAATGGAAGAAGGTACGACACTTGAATAACTTGAAGATTTTTTTTTTTTGTAAAAAAAATTCTGGTTAAATTGAAACAGAATGGTGGGAGATACCTAACAAGAGAATCCATACAGAATAACTATTAATACTAAGATGATGTTTAAAACACTAGCCCCCTGGAATTCTAGTTCCTAGGTTTTAGATTTCTTTCTCTTTTTTTTTTAAATCTGTAATACTAAAGACCACAAAGTTTCTATCTAATAATTATTTTATATAGAAATAATCTACTAATATGTCACTATGCCCCAAAATCGTTTTGAAATCCCTAAATTCTGAATTTACCTTGATTTGGGTAATACATAATGATGTGTAAGTTCAGAAAGCCAGAAATTCCAAATGATTGCCATTAATGGAAGCACAACTATTTGTAAAAACTAATCTTAACCCAGCCAATCTGAAAGTCCTGCGTTCCAGTGCCAAACAATGTCACAGTCACATGTGTGGAAATCATTTTCAGCCAAAAGCACTACAGTCTAAAATAAAGTGTACCACCAAATCTAAAAGATTAAGCATAGATGACTAGGTAATTTTAATTTAAAAAAAAATTAAGTATCCCAAGATACTTTCACTCACATACAGCATCACCTGGCCTGAGTTAAGCTCTAGACTGGATTGTGAAACTGTTACTCAAGGCACAGTTACTACTGGTGGGGCTGCTACAAACACTGGAGCATTCTTACACCTTAGTATCATCAGCTGTCAAATCGTGCTGCTAATTTGCAGTACATACAATTTCCAAATACAAATGCAAGATTTACTTGCCCCATAATGGTTCCTTCTCGACCTCTTAAACAATTTTTAAAGCACCTGCTGACCCTTGCTGACGTACCAATGCCTTTAAGCCTTTCAAGTGTAACATAAAGGGTCACTGCCGGCCGGCGCCCGGCGAGGCTGGATCTCCAGCTGTCCACGCAGAGCGGGGGTGTGCGTGCCACCCACTGCGCCCACCAGCGCCCCCTGGCGACCACACGGTACGTGCAGGCAGTAGTAGGGCTCCAAGGAGGACCGGACTGGCAGCCGCAGGGAAAAGCATGAAAAATTAACAGGCGAGCGGACACACGACATGACTGCGAATCACCATGGCCCTGTGGGCGCGGAGATCCGCTCGCCCGAGCCCGCGCCCCTTCCTCCTCTAGGGCGAATGCTGCGGCCCTACCGCCCGTTCAATCGCGGCAGCGATGGCACCAACCCGAGGGGCTGGGCGCGAGGCGCACGCCGCTTCTCGGGGTGTGCGAGCCCCTGGTACACACTACTGTCACAATCGTGTGAGTGACACGCCACCTTCCCTCCCCGACCGACGCCGGCACGCGCGCGCTCGGGAGCACCCGGGGGGAGGGCGCGGGGTCGCCCCAGGTCCCGCCCCGGCCTCGGGCTGCGGAAGGCGGCGCTGTCCCCGCGAAGCCGAGGGGCCGCGGCGTCGGGACCGCCGGGGCGCAGCCAGGTGCGGGTGGCGGGGACCCGGCGGGGAGGCGGGCGCGTCCCGCGCGGCGACGCCCGAGGCGGGGGCGACACCACCGGCCTACCTGGAGGTAACAGGGCTTCCTCAGCCAGGCCCCCGGACAGAGACTCCTCGCCATGGTAATCACACATCGCCCCGCCGCGCCGTGAGTGACACGCCACCTTCCCTCCCCGACCGACGCCGGCACGCGCGCGCTCGGGAGCACCCGGGGGGAGGGCGCGGGGTCGCCCCAGGTCCCGCCCCGGCCTCGGGCTGCGGAAGGCGGCGCTGTCCCCGCGAAGCCCGAGGGGCCGCGGCGTCGGGACCGCCGGGGCGCAGCCAGGTGCGGGTGGCGGGGACCGCGGCGGGGAGGCGGGCGCGTCCCGCGCGGCGGACGCCCGAGGCGGGGGCGACACCACCGGCCTACCTGGAGGTAACAGGGCTTCCTCAGCCAGGCCCCCGGACAGAGACTCCTCGCCATGGTAATCACACATCGCCCCGCCGCGCCGCAGTCGGAGGCGGACCGAGCAGGCGGAGGGCTCGGGCCCCCGCCCCCGCCCCCGCCCGGCCGGGCCCGCCCACTCCCCGCCCACTCCCGGGCCCGCTGCAGTCGCGGCGGCGGCGTTGGCGGCGTTGGCGGCGGCCTGAGGCCCGGCCTCGCGCGCGGTGCGCCGAGCCGGCACGGCTGTCAGAGCTGCGACCGCGTCTCCGCCGACACAAATCCAGCCGCAGCTCGCGCTTAAAGGGGAGGCGGAGGGGGCGGGAGGGGGCGGTCCGCCTCGGCGTCCTGCGCTCCCGCCGGACTCCTCTCCTAGCGCCCGAGCCCCAGCCGGAGCCGGAGCCGGAGCCGGAGCTGGAACCCGGAGCGTCGGGGCGCCCAGGAACCTCAGGCTTTTTACTGGGACCGGCCCGGCCCAGCTCGCGCGCGCACGGCGGGAATGAGGGCGCCCTGCGGACTGCACCCAGCCCTGGGCTTCCCCTCGCGGAACTCAGGTGCCTCCTCCCGGCTCGCCTCTCGGTTTTCAGCTGGTTTTTTTTAATTGCTTTTTTACAATTCCGAATTGTTGTCAGGGAGGCCTTGGGTTCTCTGGCTCCGCCTCAGAGCCCTGATTCTCAAGTTGCAGGACGAAGCACGTCCCGAGGTAGGCGCGCAGCGCAGGTGCGACGCCCCTTACCTCCACGTCCGCTAACCTCGTGGGGATCCGAGTGACGGTGCCGAGCCGAGTGACCGTGGAGGAAGGTGCGCTGTGCTGCCCTTACCCCACCTGCAGCTGGCTCGGGCCTGTGGCTCCCAGAAGCGAACTCCCGCCCAGGGAGGCTCCACCCGAGCCTTGCTCTGGGGTTTTAAACCTCGATGGTATTTTACCGCGTGCAAAGAAAGCCACTTTTCATTGATTTTTCGCTTGGTTTTAGGAGACTTAAGTAATTTTTAAGTTCCAAAAAGTCCCAGGAGGATTGGACCAGACATTCCCAGAAGGAAGGGGCATATCCCAAGGTGACATTTCCCATCCCATGCCCTAAACCCCAATAAAAACATTCACCAAAAAATAATTTCTGAGTAAGATAAGGATGGATTCTACTGGTTTTATTTATTCATTTACCCAACAGCTATTTATTGGGTACCCACACTGTTCGAGTTGTTTTGGCTACAAACATTAACAAGACACAAAAATTCCTACCCTTGTGGATATCACCTTTTGGTAGAGCGGCAATAAATAATAAATGCACCCAATGTAGAAAATCGGATAATCTGGGCGCCTGTGGCTGTGCCTGTAATCCTAGCTACTCAGGAGGCAGTGATCAGTAGGCTCACTGTTCGAAGTCAGCCTGGAAAAATAGTTTAAGCGACCCTATCTTGAAAATACCCACCACAAAAAAATGCTGGTGGAGTGTATCAAATGGTAGAGCACCTGCCTAGCAAGCCTAAGGCCATGAGTTCAAACCCTAGTACCGCCAAAAAAGAAAATAAAAGTAAGTTTTGAGAAAGATTATGGGGGGAAACCTGGAAGATGGAGAAGACTACCTACTGGTAGAGTTGGTTTGAGAGGAAAGATCAGTTCAATTTTACACATGCTACATTTGAGATATCCATTACAAATTCAAGTGGAGATCTTGAGTAGGCAGTTGTACAAAGATGAGGTTAAGGAGAATGATCCAAGATAGAGATGCATGGGACATATCATCATTTAGATGGTATTTAAAGTTATGAGATTGGATGAGGTCACCAAAGGAAAGAGTGTTAAGTAGAAAGGAGAGAACCAAGGATGAAGCCTTAAGGTTAGTGCAAAATGAAGGGAGAATTGAATGAGCCAATAAAGGAGACTGAGAAGAGGCAGCCAATGAGGTAGGAGCAACAAGTGAGCTGCCCTGAAAGCAAATACAGCTAACCTATCAAAGAGGATTGAGTTGTGTATTGAGGAGTGAGATTGACCACTGGATTTAATCACTGGTAACACTTCAGTAGAGCAACAGGGGGAAACTTGATAGTCTTAAGAAAAGAATGGGAGTGGAGGAATTGAAGATGACTAATACAATTCTCCTGAGAAGTTCTCCTGCAAATGGGGAGCCCAAAACTGGGACAGTAGCCAGTGGCTGCAATGGAGGCAAAAGGAGTTTGAAAAAATTGGGGAGTGGGCTGGTGGAATGGCTCAAGTGGTAGAGCGCCTGCCTAGCAAACACAAGGCCCTGAATTCAAGCCCTAATAACACAAAAAATTGGGGAGAAATATTTGTTTCTCTCAAGTGTCAGAACAAGAAGAAAATTGCTAGAATGGTGCTTTGAAGTTTTGGTCTTGGGGAAGGATGGTCTAGGCAGGTAGGTTGGTAGAAGTAGTAGTGGGAATCTGTTCTGATGTTTTAATTTTCTTAGAGACATGAGAAGAAGTGGGAAGATTAATACAGGTTTGAGGAGAAAAGGTGTGAAATGGCCATCTAGGAGAATGGGAAGATGAATGGACTAGAAAAAACATGCTTGCCAAGTGTCATTAAGGGCCCACGTCAAAGACAACATGAATTAAGTCATCAGAAGGTACTCTTTTCTCCAGTAATAATTATCTGCCAGGATGCAAACTCAGAGTAAGTTAGGCATTCTGTTTAATCACATTTTACCAAGAGGCTAAGAGTAAGGAGAGGGGAGCAAGGAAGAGAAAATGTAAGGCCAGGTATGGTGACACACATCCATTATCCCAGCTACTTGGGAGGTAGAGAAAGGATTGCTGATCAAGGCTAACCCAGGCAAAATCACAAAACCCTATCTGATAAAAGCAAAACTAGCTTAAGTGGTAGAGCACTTGTCTGGCAAGTGCAAGGACCTGAGTTCAATCCTCAGTACCACCAAAAAGAGAGGGAGAAAGAATATGAATGTAAGCAAGGGAGTGATTATGACTCACTGTGGAATTTCAGATGAGTGAGGAAGAGTAGTTTATGGACAGTGAAAAGATGGTAGAAATGATGAATTGGCGAGCACTCTATCACTGAGCCACACCCTCAACCCTAGGATCAAAGAATTGGAAGTCTGTGGCTCTGAGAGACTATAGAAGTCAAGGGAAAAGAGAATGATCTAGTACCTTTCACAATGACCTTGTGACCTCTGAGTTAAAGTCAAAACAAGTTACTGGGAAGGAAAAGCTTCCAGTGAAAAAGATGGAAGGGAGGAAATGGGTCTGGAGTAAATATTCCATTAAGAGAGAACCCAGGGGTGTAGTTTAAGCCCTGGGTTGGAACCCAGCAGGAATGGGGAGCCAGAGAGAAACCTAGACTGAAATAACAGACAGGACTCTTTTTTGTTGTTGTTGTTTTATCCTCCATGAAAAGACACATTGAATATTGGAATTTGAAAACACAATAGTTCTAATTTTTCACAGATGATGTTCAGAGCATGGAACACAAGAAACTTGTCATGAAGCAGGGCAAGTATTGTGTGTATCTGGTATCAGTATGGAATGCAGTGCTTAAAAATGATCCTAATTTGAAGACCAATTCTGATTCATTGTAATGGCTCTTACATCTAGCACACTTGCATATAGAAGGTAATCCATAAACATTTTTAAAGAATGAAAGACTAAATAGGGCTGCCGGGAGGATAAAAAGTACAAAAATATGATGTTTTAAGCTTGAAAGCAGCATTCAAAATCTGAAGCAGAATCATGAGTGCCAATCTTTATTTTGTTCGTTATTGTTGATAAATTTCCTGAAGAAATTCTTTTTGGGGGGATAGAGGGGTTATAGTTCTTTAAGAAAACAAGCAGCCTACAGTAATTTGGTGTTAGGTTTTTGTCTGACTTGAAGCAAAACAATGTAGTTCTGGAAATTGGAATTCCCCCTAATGAAAATGCTGCACTAAATGGCATACTGGGAATTCACAATGACTGTGACAAATGTGTCAGAAATGAATGTCATATGAAATCTGTCATGTAGAAGTTACTGAAGGATCACCTTATTACGATCTGTTAACATCTTCAGAAGGATATGAACTTGTCCTGAGACAGAATATTTTCAGGCTCTGGCAATAGCCTCAAGATTTTTGTGTAAACTGTCAGTGCCATGCTATTAAAACAACATTTCACAATATGATTTCCCTACTTTTAATTTTTTATATCAGGATATGCCATGTTCTCCACAGAAGAGGAAAATTGCACAGAGGCATGGACAACAAGAGATGACCTGGCTACACTGTTCACTGTTCCCTGGTGATTTGTGTTTTCTTCTCTCTGATGACCAGCCCTACACACTTCCCAATCCTCTTGCACGAAAGGAATGACCATCCAAAGCCAGGAAACACCGGGTTCTCTCAGGTCCTAGAGGACTCAGATGTTTCCTTATGGATTCCTCCTGTGAAATCCAGTTAGAACTGCCCAACTGAGAAAATGCAATGGTTCCAACACTGAGGGGGCTACTCCTCATCGCTGTCCTGTTTCCTGAGGCTGAAAGCTCAGTTTTATGTTAAAGGGCATGTGTTTTTCCACACAAATTATGTTTTCCTTTTCTCTTTTTAAAATATCTATATATTTATTTTTTTCTGATTAAATTTTATTTTAATGGGTCTAAAAATTCTGTGCTAGATTTTGGTCAAGTTGTTTCCTTTAAAAAGTACTCCAGCTGGGCATGGTGACATATTGCCTGTAATCCCAATACTTGGGGGGTAGAGGTAGAACGATTGTCACTTCAAGACCAGCCTGAGATCCTGTCTCAAAAAAGTACTGGTTGTAAAAACCAATAACTTAAAACTACTGCCTACTCGAAAAGACAAATGGTCCACAAAAACATTCTTCTTTCCTTCTGAAGGTTTTGTGACACATTGTTGTCACTAGCCAGTCTCTTACTATTCTACCTAAATGGCCAATTGAGACAAACAGTGCTGAGACCATTCTTCCACATTAATGAAGTCTTGGGTGGCAGATGTTAGGGATGATTTTCACTCAGCCTTGTGCACTTTCTGGGCTGACTTGGTGGACTGCCTAGCTCCAGCAGCCTCCTTGTCCTCTCCTTTGAGGACACCCACAGCAACTGTCTGTCGTTGGAAACAGCAAGATGACCCAGAGAAGGGTGGTCAGAGAAGCTC